AGGAGGAACGCTTACAAAGGTTCGAAATTGAAATGAAATATAAGTATTCCTCTCAACAGTAATTTTTCTGTACTTTATTTATTTATCTTAATTTATTTATCTCTGTACTTTATTTATCTTTGTATTTTAAAATATGTAGTTCCAATTACTGTTGAGATGAATACTTATTTAAGGTTATTGATGTTTTACTATCTTCTATCATTCAAAGCGTTATCTTTCTCATGTTTGTCTTCTACTAAATACTTAAATTAAAATAACCATTTATTTTGTATACAATAGTTTAAAGTAATGGGATAGATACAGAGAGTTGAAGAAATGCTTGAGTACGAAGAGCTTGATAAGCTGGCCGACAGGGGTAATGTTCGGAAATTCTACAAAAAAATGAGGTGGCTTACAAAAGGTTTCAAGACCGGAGCATACTCTTGTGGAACCCCCAAATTTGATCTAGTCACCGATGCCCAGAGCATACTTAAATTATGAAAGGAACACTTCTCCAGCCTGCTGAGTGGTAGTGATCGCACAACGCCAGGTGAAGGCGAACCCGATTCCCCAATCGATGACGATGGAGCAGACGTTCCATTGCCCGACCTGGAAGAAGTTCGAATAGCAATTACCCGCCTGAAGACCAACAAAGTGGCGGGGACCGATGGATTGCCTGCAGAGCTATTTAAACACGGCGGCGAAGAACTGATAAGGAGCATGCATCAGCTTCTATGCAAAATATGGTCGGACGAAAGCATGCCCAACGATTGGAATTTAAACACTTAAATATGCCCAATCCACAAAAAAGGAAACCCCACAATCTGCACCAACTACCGGGTGGCTGATGAATTTTGCTACATTAAGAAACTCAAATAATTTATTTTTTTTTCAGTGTATGAAATTCATTTTTCTTTTATTCATGTTAAAGCTCATTCAATTTTATAAACATAGCTTAATTAGTTTTAAAAATAATGGAATTTAAATGCCCCCTCTGCTCGTTGATGCATGTGCAGCGTGTTACCAAAAATTTGTTCATTACTGCTTGGAGAGTTGAGACAGGAATAGATGCAATTGTTTCTCGAATGGATTGCCTTAGTTCATTCAAATTTGTTGGTTTTGCTTTGTAGACTTCCTTGCAATAACCTGACAAGAAAAAGTCATGTCCAGTAAGGTCAGGATACCTGGGTGGCCAGCGGATTGTGGAGTTTTTAGATATCAGCTTATTGGGAAATTTTCGTCGCAATTCTATCGTAACGGTTGGGCTATGTGAGGAGCTGCACCATCTTGCTGAAACCACACAGAGTTAAAAGAAATTCTCATTCGGCGTAATACTGGATAGAAAAACTCTCTCAACATGCTCAAGTAACGGTCTCCAGTAACCGTAACGGTCTGACCGTTTTCTTCGAAGAAGTCGTGCCCGACAATGCAGCGTGATGAAACTGCACACCACACTGTGACACGAAGTGGATGCAATTCCGTCTCATGGAGTATCTGTAGGTTGGAAGCACTCCATATTCGACAATTTTCTTTGTTTATGTTGCCGTTTAAATCGAAATGGGCCTCGTCAGACATGAAAAGACAGTTCAATATGTTTCCATCCTCTTCCACCATTGGAAGAATCTTCTGGCAAAGTTCCAAGCGAATCGGCAAGTCTGCAGCGTTCAGTTTGTTGGCCATTTGAATTTTAAATGGGAGTGAGTCCAAATCGTTGTGCATAATTGACTGTAATGACTGTCTGCTTACACCTATTTGAGCAGATAAGCTTCTTGTCGAAACACGTGGATTGTTTTGTATGGCAGCAGCGATTGTTTCCTCCGTTTGAACTGAAGTGTTTCAATGGTAAAGTCTTCTGTTGACTGTCCCATGCTCGGCAAAATTGTTTACAAGTCTCATTATGGTCCATCTGCTCCGAGGATTGCCGGCAAACGTGCGCCTATACTCTCTTTGAACCGAAACTACGGACTCTAGCGGCGGACAATCCAAATTCTTGTTTCAGTGTCGCAGTTATCCATTTTTGTTAAATGTCAAAGTCAATCTGCAAAATAAAAAAAAAAATTAACCAGATTCATTAAATAGAAAAAAAGTTAATTAATTTTTTTTTTTTTTGGTACCGGCTTTCATCAGCCACCCTTTAATTGTTATTATTATATATGTAATTAAAAACTGACAAATGAATTAAAGTACATTTAAGAAAACATTAATGCGTATATGGCTTGTCTTTTCGTTTCTCCAACATTGTTGGGGCTAAATATAATCTTCCGTAGTAGTGGATGGATCTGAACCATCGTCGAACGAAGTGTAACCATTATTAATTAAAATCTTGTGGACAATACAGCAGACAAGAAACCAATCGCAGCATAATTTATGTTTTTTGTTTTTGTTTAATTAGACAGACGCATCCTTAGCTGCTAAAGGCTTCCAAATCTTTCTTCCAAAAGCCCAAAACAATGTTCTACTCTAACCCGGTATTTGCTGTGCTGTAAACTAAATGCAATTTGGGCGTTTCTATCCAACTATTTTGCGTTGCTTCTGTTGGGTTAGTAACGTTCCAGATAAAGGGGTATACCGAGTCCCCAGCAATCCATTGCTGTGAAGAAAAAAACTGCTTAAAGAGTGAGTTATGTCGATATATACATTCATAACAGTTCCCAGGGTGACGAACCACAACTTGCCGAATTACTTGTTTATAGTCACAAACTATTTGTGCTTTTATGGACTATATGTGATTTCTGAAAAATTATGACGCGTGGTCTTCAATTGGCGATTGTGCCAATTTAATCTCGGTTCCATCAATATATCCAATACAAAACGGCAACTCATCAGAGGTATCCAATACTATTTTCGATCCTTTAATCCCATCGGATTAATAAAATACTTATATTATTATCGATATAGTTTCGCCATCTACACCTCTAAAAAGTGACGTTATTTTTCTATATTAACTGAAATTCCGCATAAAAATATTTCTTACCTTCAATGTCCATAATTTTTTCAGCAGTTTCAGCAATTAAAGCGTCAGTTACTTTTTTGACATATTTTCCAATTTGAGCGAAAATTTTGTTTACAAACAATGTTTTTTTGCACCGATCAGCTGTGAATTAATGGTCTTTGCAAGGGTTGCGCAGAAATCACAAAAAAGACGTTCACTGTTGATGGTAAATATTTGCACTTGCATTTGCATTTTGCAAACACAGATGCACAAGATTCTGAATTGTACTATAGTGTTGTTTGCTTATTTTCTGAACTGCCAATAAGTTAGCACTTCCAAATACCAAAGTTGATAGAGTAATTTATTCCTTTAGCTGTTGTCTAAATTTCTTTAATTCTCCTTTTTGGAGGTTAATATTACTCTGGTGGTGAGACTAGTGAAGACTTTTGCGCTATTTGGTACAATCTATACCAATACACACATACATACATATACAACAACTAAGGAATGGCTTAGTTCGATTATATCAATTGTGGTATTTAAATTGTGCAATATGACAAGTAGGCTTGACTGTAATCCGATTTTTTCTGCGACACGAGGAAGGAAGGGCTGAGTTCGGGTGCAATCGAACATTACATATTCTTGCAACATCAAAGCCAGGGAAATTAATATACAAACGGTCAACCAGAGTATAAGAATACCAGCAATTATAAACACATACAGTTGAACTTCCCTAACACACAATAAACCATAGAAAAGTCTTCGAGTTATGAAAGAACTTTTGTTGTCAATTCAAGAGTTCGAGTTATACAGAATTTCGAGTCATGGAAGTTCAACCGTGTATTATGTATAATATAACGGGTTTTTCAATAAGAACGTTACAAAAGTTTTTGAAATAAAACAAAAATGGTTTGGGATATCAATGAAATTTTTTATTCCAATGAGTCACCATTGCATACCGAAGCTAGAAGGGAAATAGTGACCGAGCGTCTAGCAGATATACTAGCGCTTAGGCAGAAAGCGAAAACTTTAACGCGCGATTTCTCGGTTTTTCATTTTAACTATTTTTTTTAATTGGTGGGCAGGACAGAAAAAACTACACGTCGTATGGAATTGGAACAAAGTTTAGTATCTTTTTCATAAAATAATTTTCTATTCAAACTAAAAAACCTAAGAAAAGTCAAGTTTCAACCTATTTTTAAATAAGTTAAAGAAAATTTGTTTTGGTTCTTTTTCTCAATTTTTAAAAAAATTGTAAAATTTTAAAAAAATTGTAAAATTTTAAAAAAATTTTGTAATTTTTTTAGTTTAACTAGAAGATAAGTTATTAGAAAATATAAATCTTTTAGAATTTTTTGTTTCTGATAGAAGTTGCGACCTGCATTCTGCCCGCCGTCCGACAAATGCCATGGGAGAAGCATCGGGCAATTGCTTCCCAAAAGCAGAATATCAAAGATTTCGTACCCAAGAAATTTGTGAATGATGTTTTTATATATAACTATATACGATAGAATTTTCGTTTGAATAAATTGTTTCTTTCCCGCCCAAAAAGGTCCTCGAAAAAACGGTTTTTTTTAAGCCTATTAAGCAGCCTAACGTTTTGTGGGCATGGCAGTGGTCCGATAACCCCCATTTACGAACTCCGCCATAATTTTTGCCAAGAAACATGTGTACACAGCAAGGTGTCTTAGTTTTTGCTCAAGTTATAGCTTATACGCCCGGACGGTCGATGCTACATGTTGAAAGAGTATAAAAATATAAATTATTTATAAATAATAATTTTACCTAAAAGTGGGCAGGACCACGTACATCGTATAGTTTTTACATAACTACATAAAGTCTTCTCATACCATCTCAGGTGTATAATTGTATATCTCTGTCGTAAGTATTTAGTTATTGATTTATTTTTAACACTATTGTTATATTGGGAGTTAATGTTGTCGGATCACGCCCATCTACGAACTCCTAAAAATTTTTTTCAAGGAACACGTTTAGCAGTTTTTATCAAGATATCTCTATTTATACTCAAGGTGTTGCAACAGCAAAAAATGTTAAATTAATATAAAGTTACTACATTTTATCCTTTTAGAACCTGCCTTCCTTCTGAGATGCTACAATGGAATGATAGAAATATTATGTCAGTTTTGAAAAATTGCCTTGGAAAAGAGTTGAGTAAAGTAACGATGCCTGTTACTTTAAATGAGCCATTAAGCTTTTTGCAAAGAATATGTGAATATATGGAATACGCCGAAATATTAAATAAAGCCAATAAGGAGGAAGATCCTGCTGACCGAATGAAGCTCGTTGCAAGTAATGTATAACAACTTTTATAACTATGTCTTTGTATATATAATATATTATTGAACGTAATACACAAAGAAAACACAGTTCAAATACTTATGTTCATAAATTGTATGCAGTACAATAATAACTTCATTGCCCCTAATATATTTATTGCCATAGTTTATTCAACCGAAAACCGTGTTGCAGCACACCCTGAAAAGAAGCCAACTTTTATATAAAGCTTCCAACTATAATTAGGGGCCACTGTTTGTATCAAAATTATTTCTAGGTATAGTACAGGTAGGGTCCGATAGGTACTTTATTTGATTTAAAGTGTTTCTCTGATGAGCGAGAAGAGAAAATTTGTTCTAATATGTCAAATTATTGTACCAATTCGATAACGAATTAAAGAAACAGTTCCATGTAGCCAAGCAAAATATGTTACAAAATACAATGAATATGATGTGTAAGTTGACATCCGCCGCGGGAATCACAAAATTGATTGAAACAGACTGCAAATCAAGCACGTAGGAGAGTGCTAAAGTGTACGGACGCGCTTATTTAATTCGCTCCGTGAATTCAATCTTTACAAAAATATAAAATAAATAATAATCTAGCAAAAAGCAAATCAAAAAAACAATTTATCAAATTGTTAACAAACATAAAGAACAGTGCACATAATAATAAACATAAACAAAAAGTGCGCGAATCAACTAGTGAAAACAAAAAATTCAAACAAAAAATAATGAGTCAGAGAACGTAAAGTATAGAGAAGGTGCAGGTTCGACTGCGAACATTTGTTAGATTTATAATAGGGAATTCACCTCATAACGACAGAAGTCACGCTGTTAAATTTTAACAGTTCTCCATATATTCATCTCAGAATATGAAGAGAAATAAAAAAATATGTATTTACGGCATATGATGAAATGGCATATATGCCGAAGCCAGAGAATATGAAGAGACATAAAAATATGTATGCATGCCCATGATAATACTCCGTTTTGCTTGTTTATATTTTGTTTTACTGTTGACAGCGAAAAATTTGTACAAAACACACCTCTCACACAGAGAATATAAAGACATTTTTTTATGTTCTCTAACCCAACAATATGAAAAGATATAAATATAGGTACATATGTATATATGCATGCACATGATGATACACCGAAATAGAGAATATTAAAGAAAAATAATTTCTTTGATATTCCATATGAAATGCAAATGTTTCATTTTGTATGGAAATAT